CTCTTTTGTCATACGTGGCTTCAATATTCGACCCGGTTGGAATCATGGCACCGATATTGCTGCCTGCTAAATTAATTTTGCAAGATACACGTAGAAGGCGATTAGAATGGGATGCAGAACTACCTGAAGACTGTCTAGCCTCCTGGAATAGATGGTATAAGAATATTAATTATTTGCATAAAATTCGCATTCCCCGATGTATAATGCCTATTTCTTGTGAACCGTTGAGCACTCAGCTTCATTGCTTCTGAGACGCTTCAGAATCCGCATATGGTGCTGTAGTATATATCCGTGTAGAAGATGCTTCCCGCCAATTTCATTGTTCTTTACTGCTGGCAAAATCTAGAGTCGCACCATTGAAATCTGTTACTATGCCTAGACCAGAGTTAGTAGCTGCTGTACTATGTCTCAGGATTGGTAAACATCTGCAACAACAGCTTCGTGTGCCGATTTCATCTACAACTCACTGGACGGATTCACTAATTGTGCTTCATTCGATAAAAAACACTACGAAAAGATTTGAAAGATTTGTAAGCAACAGACTCGCAGTTATCCATGAGTTATCCCTACCAGATCAGTGGAGACACGTCAGTAGTAAACAGAATCCTGCTGATTACGCCTCACATGGACTTTCGTTAGATGGTGTGGAATCAAGCTGTAAATCAAAATAAAAAATCAAAATCAAAATAAAAAATGATGATGTTAAGATCAACGAGTGGTTTTATGGACCACAATTCCTAAGAGACAGGGAAGAGAATAGGTCTTATATGGATGAAGATGAAAGTATTATCAGCAATAATATGTTTGTGGACGAAACCTGTGGGTCGAATACACTACAGGAACATGGTCAACTACTAGATAGATTCAGAGCGTTCACCTCATGGATTCAGATGCTAAGAGTTTTCGCCTTATGTCAGCATTTCATCCGCAATTTGAAAATGCAAAAGGGTGGAAAACCGTCTATCGCTTGCAAACTATAGCTAGAGGATATCAGTAGAGCCAAGTTGTATATACTTAAGCTGGTGCAGAACGATACATTTCCCGACGAGATGGAGGCATTAAAGTCCGCAGGAAGTGGTTGTAGAAACATTGCTAATGGCTACGAAGCTGGAAAGGTCGGCATGAGCAATGAGTTGCTATGTCATATGCGGTCGTCCTGCAAAGCCATGAAGGGTGGCGTTGTCCGCGGATCTACGATAAATAAACTCAATCCATTTGTGGTAGATGACATCATTCGAGTGGGAGGTCGCTTACAATTATCATGCTTACCCTTTGATAGTAAACATCCAATTATATTACCCGGTAAGCATTTTGTCACCGATATGATAGTGATGCATTGTCATCTTCAGAATGCTCATGCAGGTATCATGCATGTTCTAAATAGTCTTCGGGAAGAATTCTGGATTCTAAAAGGTTATTCTACAGTTAGAAGAGTATTGAGGCGATGTTACTTGTGCAAGAGACTTAATGCTGCACCATGTTCTCAGATAATGGCTCCATTGCCAGAGTGCCGGTTAAAGGCTCATGTACCACCGTTCAACTCTGTTGGTGTGGACTATTTCGGACCATTTTTTACAAAGAGAGGAAGAGTTGTTGAAAAACGTCATGGTTGTCTGTTCACATGCTTATCGATCAGAGCGGTTCATATCGAAATGGCGCATACCTTAGACACTGACTCCTTTCTGTGTGCATTCTCTAGGTTTGCTGCAAGAAAAGGGTACCCAAAGCACATATTTAGTGACAACGGTTCTAACTTCAAGGGAGCTGATGCTAGTTTGAAGCAAATTATTAGAAATTGGGATAAGACAAAGATATCGAATAATCTTCTAGAAAAGGGATGTGAGTGACATTTCAATCCACCTAGAGCCAGTCACCGTGGAGGTGTATGGGAGCGCGATATTAGATCTGTTAGAAAGATCTTACGGACGCTATTATTTCAGAAAGTGCTAACAGACGAAACAGTGGAAACATTCTTGATGGAGTCCGAAGGAATTTTAAACAGTTGACCGTTGGTAAGGTTGACAGGTGGCGGCAATGAATTAAGTGTTCTAACTGCGAACAAATTATTATTACTTCATAAACAGTTGACGTTTGAAGGAATAGAAGCTAGTAGAACGTCATTGTATAACAAAAGATGGAAAGAAGCACAACATTTGGCTGATTTGTTCTGGCATAGATGGCTACGTGAATATCTTCCGATGCTGCAAGCAAGATCTAAGTGGCTGGATATAAAGCGCAACCTACAACCTGGTGATCGAATCCTAGTTAACAGTACTGACACACCGAGAGGTCCCTGGCCAAAAGGCTATAGTTAAGCAGGTGTACTATGACCAAGATGGCCGCAACAGGACGGTGGGTTTAAAAACTGCAACTCAAGAAGTCGAACGAGATATAAGGAGCGTATGTTTGTTGGAAGAAGCCGACAACTTGAAGGTTCCAGATACAAGAAGTCAACGTGGTGATCGTTTGCGAGGAGTGTTAATCGCGACAGATAGATAGACTGTATGATAAACAGCCAATCAATGTTATGTGACCTTTTTGTCGCGATTATTGGTCAATTAATGTAACTCACACCACGTGATGTGATCTTGAGTGTTCTTCGTTTTCTCTCACTCTATATGTGTACGTGTTAGTTATTAACTGTTCATTTTGCTCGTTCTCTCAATACTGTTCGGTACATTTTTGTCCTTTTTTGAATGACAGTGGATTTGTACATTTTCCTTGGTGTGATTGTATGATATATTTTATGTTTTAGAAACAGATAAAGTTTAAGTCAAGTCAACCGGTTTTTAACCATAGTTAACCTGACACTCTGTATCGTTAGTACTGAAGAAAGAATAAATCTGTAGGTGAAAAATAATCCTATAATATACCCAATTCCCAATTCATAAACCACATTTATAACAGTCATTCGAAGTATGATCTTGAATACCTCAGTTGATAAAACCGCTGTAAGTACACGCTAGTAGGGTTATTATTCAGATGTCTTCTGTACTGGTGTCCAGTTGTATATTCCTGAAAATCGATCGGTCGAATACCAAATGCAATTACCCCGTCAAGCACTCGTTATACATGACACACGGGGAGTTTTCTTAGCGACCTAATAAATATTACTGTAAGACTTCTGAATCTGTATCATCCCAAGCTAACTGTGTTACTCTCACCGCGGACGCCAATTAAAATTAGGAAAGTGAAGTTTCGTTGTTCTACAGTGCTACCCATCGATAATCAAACTCCACTATATGGTTTCAAGATTCCAGTAGTTTGTGTATCACTAGGTTTAATTTTTACTGCTGTCCATTTCTGCAGGCGATATCGGCTGCACATAGCGTCGCGACACGACAAGTCCAACGCCATAGTACTGTGCGCTCACGTCTATACTTGGCAGTAAGTAATAAAATCCAGACTAGCCTTGGGTTTAACTCGCTAGTCAGATAAAGACTTTGTGGAGTTGAGATTTCCACATTAAGGTGCAGTGTTTAACACGTCCTTTGTAATTTTATGTTCTGAGCCTACTACATAGTGAAAATTATGGCACATGAGGATTCAAGATGACATCGCTGACTCCCAGATGGTTTCCATCAGGCTCAGACCGCACTGTCGAGACTTAGATCGCTTAGATGTTCCTCCCTATGGGTGTTAGTGGTCCCATGGAGGCAGAAGACCAGTAGATCCCAAGGTAAGGCCACGTCACCCTTTCGGTGGCTAGAACATCACGTATAGTAAAGCAGGTGTTCGACAGTGAGATTCATGCAGTAGAATGGATAGCCGAAGTTAGTTTTCAATGTTTACCTGGAAATTATATTCGTTGCTGACACTCAAATATCTGTCCCGACTGCAGATGGTTTATTCGCGAGCGTGGTGATGGCACATCGATCATTTTGACGTACTAAGAATTTCACACCGGGTGTCCTTGATTGGTTCGGATGCATACATTCGTTCTCGCTTTGTCCAGATATTTGGGTGTAGCCAGTGTTTGAAAGAGGATAGCATATAGAGAATTGCAGCCAACTGTCTAGGTGTATTTAGATAAATTGTTTTGTGTGTCATATAGGTTTCATAGACTTCCTCTAGTTATCAAGTGTAGAACGTCACCTTCCCCCTTCAGAATATTGGTGGTGGCCAACTTAGGCAATGCTGTTTGGTCACACTTTGTCTGGTGGTTGTATTGTTAGTTGTAAAGTGGGCAGAATGTGGCAGTGGTTGGTGTTCTTCATGATGGTGGCAACAAGTTCAAACCTTCAAAGTCGTTACATTCGCCGAGTTCACACTTGTTTTGAGAGACTATTTCGTCCTATCCATCGCGATGACTGGTACCTATGGAGACGTAAGGTGGGCATGGAGGCTCTAACCAACTGAGAATGTGCCCGTTTTATCAATGGGTAACTGCGATGTAATCTGTCAGAGTGGCAGAAAGTGCTATCTGGTTCAATAAGTATGTGTTCGCTAGTTGTGTGGTCTGTAATGGTTTTCAGGCTTAAACTGTCACTGGTGTGGTGATCTACAGGTTGGGTATGAATCGTGTTTCGGATAATTATCTAGGTGTTTTGAGATTCCCAAGTGTTTGGGGATACCGATCAAATGAGTCTCCAATACTCTTGGCTTCTGATTATGAGGTCACTGTGTAGTTGAATATTTGGCTGGTAAAGATATAACTTTAAAACGCCCTTTCCTAACTCGTCAGTGTTAAACTTGGGCTGTATGCCAACCATTCATTGTCGAATAGTAACCACAATCAGTGGTAGGTTTCTGGTGAGTTCATGTGTCATTAGCTGGACGTTTTCCTTGTGAACCTATAGGATTGGAAAGTAGACTTTGGGGGTATTTAAACATAACAAACAAGTTCACTATATGTGAACCAACCACTGAGTCCAAAGGTTGCACTCACCACCACCCCCTGAAAACCCTAATTTCCCGTTTTATGCAAACATTTTAAAAACTCATTTCACATCTTGTATAATTCAATTTTCGATCCATTACACGTCACTCTTCCTAGTGTTGTTTTGTTTAACTCGTCACATCCTACCACTGTCCGGGAAACTCAAGTTGGTGTGCAGCTCGTAGGGCAGCACGCTGAAAATTTACAAAAAAACAGATAAAACGTTAAAAAAAATTCATAAAACTTAAAAAAACCAAAAAAAACATGGCTGCGACTGCACCTAGTCAGGGGATAATGAACTCTTCTTTGTATGTCGGGGATCTGCATCCGCAGGCTACTGACACCACACTGCAAGCCAAATTTTCGAAGATCGGTCCGGTCCTCAGCGCTCGTATTTGCCGAGACTTAGTTACTCGTCAATCTTTGGGGTACGGCTATGTCAACTTCGTGGATCCAAAGCACGGTAAGTTTCCTTTACGAAAATGAGCTTTGCAGCTGAATGTGCTCTGGAAGTGTTGAACTGTGAGCCTCTAATGGGGCGACCGATAAGGATTATGTGGTCTCAACGCGATCCATCTTTACGAAAGTCCGGGAAGGGGAATATATTCATTAAGAACTTGGATAAGTCTGTCGTGCAGAAGGAGCTTTACGACACATTCGGCTACTTCGGGAGGATTTTGTCGTGCAAAGTATGTCTCATATACTTAATTATATTATGCTTTAGATCGCAATGGATGAAAACGGCCAATCTAAAGGGTATGGATTTGTTCACTTCGAAAAAGAAGAGTGCGCTGAACGTGCTATCGAAAAGATCAACAACAAAATTATTCGTGATCGTGTTGTTTACGTTGGCAAGTTCATACCTAAGGTTGAGCGTAAATCACAAGCCAGGAAGCTAAGGTTTAACAACCTGTACATCAAGAACTTTCCTCCGGAGACTGATGATGAAAAATTGAAACAGATGTTTGCTGAGTTTGGAGAGATCAAAAGTGCATGTGTAATGAAAGATGGCGATGGAAAATCGAAGGGTTTTGGATTTGTGTGTTATCTCGACCCAGATCATGCTGAAAACGCCGTTAAAACTATGCATGGGAAGGAGATTGAAGGGAGAGCTCTTTATTGTGCTCGAGCTCAACGGAAAGAGGAACGCCAAGAAGAGTTGAAACAGAGACTAGAAAAACAGCGTGCTGAACGTCAATCGAACTATACGTCAAAAGTTAATTTGTATGTCAAAAACCTAGACGACAACATTGACGACAAACGACTCGCAGAAGCATTCAGCGCCTATGGAACCATCACAAGTGCTAAGGTGATGAAAGACGCAAATAATAGGTCTAAAGGCTTCGGTTTTGTCTGCTTCGCCGACCCTTCTCAGACTGCAAAGGCAGTTTCGGAAATGAATGCAACAATTATTGGCTCCAAGCCTCTGTACGTTGCTTTAGCTCAAAGGAAGGAAGATCGTAGAGCACAACTGATAGCAGAACATCAGCAGCGAATGGCACAGTATAGAAGCTCGGTTGGTCAAATAATGCCTGCAGTACCGGGCCACGCGACACCACACAATTATTTCCCATCTGCATTCCAACAACCACCTAGATTCTACCATCCAACTGGAGCAGTTCTCGGCTCCCAACCACGCTGGAATCGACCTGGCATACCGGCCCAATTCGGTGCGGTTTCAAACAGGCCACCTGTTGCTGGTCACTATATTGGTGCACACAATCCTGCTGCTATCCCAACGAACATGGCGGCATTCACTCAACTACGATCACCTGGTGTTAACCGTCCCATGGTGCCAAACGGAATGTCCACAATGCCCACGAATCCTCACTTGCAAAACGCAAATGTCCTAAACCAGGCTGCAAATCAGCAAAGACAACAAGCATCTGGCAGACAAGGAGTAGTTATGCAGCAAATGCTCACTGGGACGACTGGAGGCCTGAATCAACGGCCAACTGCAGCATCTGTGGTTGCAGGTCCACCGTCTGCTAATTCTGCCGTGCGTGTAAGTTAAACTAGTTAATTACATTTTATTAGGCCCTTCTCATGACGCTACATGTAGCAAATACGTGAGTTTTTAGTGTTCGTAGTGCCACAGTTTTGTCATGATGTTTGTTGCTGTGTCACATGCGTCAGTAACTGGTTGACAACAGTGGTATCCACCCTGAGATGCCGTTGATCGTGGTGGCTGCCTCCATGATCCCATAATTAGAACCGTTTGTTTAAGAGACCTGAACAGGAAATTCATTGGGAACATCTGTTGCTGAAGGTGAGTGGTACGTTCTGAAACACAACGAACGAAACATATAGTCCTCTGCCTCAGTAAGTGCCATTCATATACAGATAACGGCAATCAACAGGAACCAGCGTCATGTCTCAAAATCGGGGAAATAGTGATAATTTTTCAGATTTCATTATTGTTGATATGTGGGGATGTTTATATACTTTTTAGTTTACGTAGAGTTGGAGTCATCACTCGGTACTCTGGCAACAAGCTGCCAGTACATATCTCATCTTTTTCATTGTACAGGTGGCACCGCAAGTTGCAAGGCCTGTGTTGCACTCTGGTATGTCTAACATGCCTGGCACCGCAACAAGCGTCAGATTCAATCAGACAGCGCGTAACGTATCAGCTCAGCCTGCTCTTGTCCAGGCCGGCAATTTGTCTGCCGTTCTGACTCCACTTGGTGATCAAGGCCAGCTAACTATAAGCGCCCTCGCTCAGTTGCCTGAAGAAGAACAGAAGAGGACCTTAGGAGAGCATCTTTATCCACGCGTGAAAATGATGTATCCCGAATTGGCCAGTAAACTAACAGGAATGCTTTTATGCGTTGATAACGCGGAGGTCATCAATCTTTTGGAGTCTGAGGAACTACTAAGAGCTAAGGTGAGCAACTCGTTGATACTCCATATTTATTGTTTCTTCCATAATACTATGCCTGTCAGTAATTTTTTCGAAAGATTTTCAGGCATGCACTCACCTGTGTGACACTGTTTTGCCTGAATAGCATTATGCACTAGGACAGTGAAGACTTAGCTGATAATCTGCTTTTCTTTGATTTCAAAAGTGGGACTGAAGTTGCAAATGTTAGTGAAGTAAAGACTTTACTATAATCTCGGCGCGTCGGACTAATGACAAGTCCCTTATGGATAAGATTTTAGTTTGATAAATCACACAGTGTTGTACAGTTATATTAACTGGTGACGTTTCGAGCACAAACTATTGCTCATAATCATATCATATATATCATATACTCCCCATTTATTTTGGCTTCTCTCGTGTTCTTCTGTTTGTTTTATTTAGCGCACGCCCACTTTTTTAGGGTTTACTTAACTTTCGGTAATATTTTTGATTTTTTAGTTACCAAATTTATTCTCTTTATTTTGCTGATGTGCGATTTTATTTGGTGTTTTGTGTAACGATCTCTTTGTTTTTTTAATTTTTTTGAATATTTTGATTCCGTAGCATCTTTCCATACTGACGTGTATATTTGATGTTTTGCTATTCAATATATTTGCTTCGGTTGTTCTGGGAATATCTTGACCAATATTCCGTTTAGTTTGTTTTATTGACTGTCTGTTAATTCAGTCGGAAATCTCAGTGGAACATTTATTCATCCCTCTCATCATATGAATATGTGTCTTTTATTCTGTGTTACAATCGTGGACACCTATTTTAACAACCTTGCTGTGGTCAATTGAATGTTGTGTATGTTGTGTCATACAATGTAGGTATGATTTATCATTATGAGCAATAGTTTGTGCTCGAAACGTCACCAGTTAATATAACTGTACAACACTGTGTGATTTATCAAATTAAAATCTTATCCATAATGGAGTTATACTCTACCACAGTGCCTAAGTTTTATACTTATATCAATAAGTCCTTTGGTAGAAAGATTGATGGACTAACGGGGATTGCCGATGCTAGACCACTCACTGCCTGTATATCCTAAATCTACAACCGTCGGAAGACTCGACGAACTTTTGCTCTGAATATGTGGTTTTTATTCTTCTGAAGGAGTGTTTCCACGTGGCAGCTTATTATTGCAACACACAACGCAAATAGGTGCAGTGAGGTTCATTTGTTCGACTTCAAAACGACAAGATTGTTGATAGATGGTACTATCATGGACACCGCTGATCGGAGGAAAGAGAATAATCGAAAACCACAATAATAAGAATGGTCAGAATTTCCAAGTTGAACAGGTTGATGGTTGCAACAATGTCGGAGCTGTCCGTTTCTAAGTATCTTTATTCACCCTCATTGTTTCGCATTTGCGATAACTGTAGTTTGATGACCTGGTATGGTTTAGTAATGTAGCAGTAAGATAAGGCTCGCCTTGACAGCTATTTTCAGCATAGTATGGGCTTGTATTATGCTGAGGTTAGAAAACTCTAGATAAATATTTTGTAGAGAAATGCAGTAGATAGCGGGTCTGTAAGCTCACGTTGCCACCAGCTCGAAGTGATGAAGTGAGGGGGGGAGAGTTAACCGGGTGAATTCAAGGTTTGGAGCGGTTCTACACACGCGAACCCGCAACATTTCAACGTCCCCACCCTAGTGTACTTATGCCTTAGATCGACAGTGACGCATTTACCAATTGTCCCTCATCACTAGAGGTCAACCGACATAAATAGCACGAGGATGCTGTCAACTGACACGTAGCACGTTCTGTATAGTGTGATATTTCAGTGTACGTTAAGTCGCATAGTATGACGAGTGCAAAAATACTGAGGTTTGAGGGCTGGTGTTTGGTAATCTGATCAATTTTAAGGACCGACCGGTCATTGTTACTTTGTCCTTTTAAACTGCTAGCGAATTCACCAACTACCTTTGAAACTATTTTTTGTTTTCAGTGTGAGGAAGGCATTAGCGTGCTGAGGGCCAACCAGAATCAACAACGTGATGCTGCTGATGACAGACATGCTAACCCAGGTCAGAATGGTGATGGCACGATTGGCCCAGGATCTGTTGCTCCAGTTACAATAAAACTTGAGGACCCAAACAATTAAATTCGAGGTGTCGTTTCTCCGTGGAATTCTTTATTTACTCATAGTCATATGCCAGTCTCAGTCGTTGAGAGTTGGGTAAACTGTTTTCAGTCACATTTCATTTTTAGTCCCTTGTTTCTCACTTTGTTCGTGTTACTGATCAGCACAGGCTCTTGTTTGCTTAAGAATATTGGCACATTCGTTTTATATTTAACTTATGAACTTATAAATCCTTATCCTTATGGTGTTAACCGTTATCTGTTTTTTACTCCCGTTTACCGAATGTTGAATGATAATATGAATTATAATATGAATTATAATATGGATAGTAAATTTCTGTTATACAATTTTGCTAACCAATGATGAGAGTCGATTGTGCGGTCTCGAGAGTCCAGTAATATGGGCATCACTAAGTTCCATTCAGCCTTCCGCTTAGTAATTTGGATATTATACCCAATTCCTAATTCATAAACCACATTTATAACAGTCATTCGAAGTATGATCTTGAATACCTCAGTTGATAAAACCGCTGTAAGTACACGCTAGTAGGGTTATTATTCAGATGTCTTCTGTACTGGTGTCCAGTTGTATATTCCTGAAAATCGGTCGGTCGAATACCAAATGCAATTACCCCGTCAAGCACTCGTTATACATGACACACGGGGAGTTTTCTTAGCGACCTAATAAATATTACTGTAAGACTTCTGAATCTGTATCATCCCAAGCTAACTGTGTTACTCTCACCGCGGACGTCAATTAAAATTAGGAAAGTGAAGTTTCGTTGTTCTACAGTGCTACCCATCGATAATCAAACTCCACTATATGGTTTCAAGATTCCAGTAGTTTGTGTATCACTAGGTTTAATTTTTACTGCTGTCCATTTCTGCAGGCGATATCGGCTGCACATAGCGTCGCGACACGACAAGTCCAACGCCATAGTACTGTACGCTCACGTCTATACTTGGCAGTAAGTAATAAAATCCAGACAAGTCTCGGGTTTAACTCGCTAGTCAGATAAAGACTTTGTGGAGTTGAGATTTCCACATTAAGGTGCAGTGTTTAACACGTCCTTTGTAATTTTATGTTCTGAGCCTACTACATAGTGAAAATTATGGCACATGAGGATTCAAGATGACATCGCTGACTCCCAGATGGTTTCCATCAGGCTCAGACCGCACTGTCGAGACTTAGATCGCTTAGATGTTCCTCCCTATGGGTGTTAGTGGTCCCATGGAGGCAGAAGACCAGTAGATCCCAAGGTAAGGCCACGTCACCCTTTCGGTGGCTAGAACATCACGTATAGTAAAGCAGGTGTTCGACAGTGAGATTCATGCAGTAGAATGGATAGCCGAAGTTAGTTTTCAATGTTTACCTGGAAATTATATTCGTTGCTGACACTCAAATATCTGTCCCGACTGCAGATGGTTTATTCGCGAGCGTGGTGATGGCACATCGATCATTTTGACGTACTAAGAATTTCACACCGGGTGTCCTTGATTGGTTCGGATGCATACATTCGTTCTCGCTTTGTCCAGATATTTGGGTGTAGCCAGTGTTTGAAAGAGGATAGCATATAGAGAATTGCAGCCAACTGTCTAGGTGTATTTAGATAAATTGTTTTGTGTGTCATATAGGTTTCATAGACTTCCTCTAGTTATCAAGTGTAGAACGTCACCTTCCCCCTTCAGAATATTGGTGGTGGCCAACTTAGGCAATGCTGTTCGGTCACACTTTGTCTGGTGGTTGTATTGTTAGTTGTAAAGTGGGCAGAATGTGGCAGTGGTTGGTGTTCTTCATGATGGTGGCAACAAGTTCAAACCTTCAAAGTCGTTACATTCGCCGAGTTCACACTTGTTTTGAGAGACTATTTCGTCCTATCCATCGCGATGGCTGGTACCTATGGAGACGTAAGGTGGGCATGGAGGCTCTAACCAACTGAGAATGTGCCCGTTTTATCAATGGGTAACTGCGATGTAATCTGTCAGAGTGGCAGAAAGTGCTATCTGGTTCAATAAGTATGTGTTCGCTAGTTGTGTGGTCTGTAATGGTTTTCAGGCTTAAACTGTCACTGGTGTGGTGATCTACAGGTTGGGTATGAATCGTGTTTCGGATAATTATCTAGGTGTTTTGAGATTCCCAAGTGTTTGGGGATACCGATCAAATGAGTCTCCAATACTCTTGGCTTCTGATTATGAGGTCACTGTGTAGTTGAATATTTGGCTGGTAAAGATATAACTTTAAAACGCCCTTTCCTAACTCGTCAGTGTTAAACTTGGGCTGTATGCCAACCATTCATTGTCGAATAGTAACCACAATCAGTGGTATATTTGCAGGAATTTTTTTCGTTTGCCTAAATCTTTGGAGATTGCTATATGATATCTTTATCGGAGAAGGATGGGAATGCGTCAATGAAGTGATGGTTAGGACACTCTGATTCTCGAACAGTGTAGTGGTATAGTTGGTATGAAGTACCTCAGTGAATAGTCGTTCAGTATCAATTTATACCATGTGTGTTTAGGTGTCGGTAGTTAGCAGTTGTGCGGCAGCTGATATTAATTTGTGTATATGCTCGAAACATGAATTATCCAGGAACTAATTTCCTTTCATTATATATTGTTGGGAGAAGGATTATCTGGTTCTTGCTGTCTTAATGTGATATGATCAGAGTGGTTAATGGTGTGTTGCTGAGTTCATTCGAGGTATGTAGGAAGGTTACTTTAAATCTCGGTACATAAATATCTTGTTAACTAAAGGATATATTAAGTTGTGCAAATAAATCCCTATCGGGTCTTAACATATTTGGGCATTGCTCACCCATATCTCATTACTTCTTAGTGTTTATCGAGTTTTCCGCTGTCCCCTGAGATGACACTGATGTAGGTGTTGATGCATAACTGTATCAGCGATTTTTCGTTATTTTGGAGACCTATGTACTCTCACTATCTATACTATTGCGAGAAGATTGCTCACCTCAACTTATTTTCATTATTTTTAAAATTATATGATTATGACGACTGTGTCGTAATTATAACCTATTAATAGATGACATTTCACGTACAGATTCTATTTAGACAATTTAGTACATTACTATTGAACAATTCATTTTCCACATTTGTAATGTATTGCTAGCTTGCGTTTGGCGAATGTCCACTTGTGCATTCTCGTATAGATTACGCCACACATTAGGTGTGACATTTGTAAGTACTTCATTACCCTTATTCGGAAGCGTTTTACGAATTCCCTGTTGAATGAAATTGCAACTGTGGAGATCCTGACTCTTTTCATAAAAATTTTTCTTATAACTGCCGCATCCTTTTTGCATGACCCAGTGAGGGGTTTTCGGTTCACAAATAATTTACCTCTAAAGTGCTTTGGAACTATGGCATTTTGATAATCGAATATACATCAAGTTTAATTTCTTTTGCTGTCGGATTGAACCTACGTAATTCTATTTATTTTCGTTCTTTACACACGACAGAGTTCTACGACTACTATAAATCCAGTTTTTGCAAGTAGCACATCCGTAGTTTAAATATTGGAGCGTGTCTCAGAAGGTAACAATGACAGGTGATTCTCGCTCAGTAATTTTCTCTAACTTAATACCTCTGTTGAGCTACATAAAGTTCGGTTAACATTTTATCATGAAAAATAGGGAGGTGTTATAAATCTGTTGGATAGGTAGTATACCTAAAGTGCGGCCAATTTAATTTCAAGATATGTTTATGAATGTGGATAAAAAAGGAGTCTTACAAACTTTCAGAAATTCAAGAGTTAATTTATTCAGAGAACGTTATTTTTTATTTTTACTAAAAGAATTGACCCTAACGGCTTAGGTTTTGACTTGTTACAACGGTAGAGTTCTGTGGACTAGGAGCATGCATATGATATTCTCCTCTTAAATGAAGGTGTTTGCAAAATGCAGTGTCATCTGAAAACTTTGAGCAGAAATCTTCAATATTTGGCTTTTGAGGTAGTGCTGGAGGATTGCATTGACCTGAGACTAAAGATGGGGAGTGAAATGAATAATCAACGATGGTCGCTTTGTCTGTACGGGGCGTTTCATAAGGACGGATAAAAAAGGCTCGTGTGGCATGTGTCATTTTACATCATTTCATGGCGTACAGGTGATACCTGATTGTCATTTATAGGACGTGTGTACTACATAGCAGCGCGATCTGTTCTTGTTTGTGGCTGTAGGACTTTGGGAAATACAGAAAGGCTGACTGTCGTCGGACGTGTGTTCTGTATAATATGGTGGGTAGCACAGAGGCTAGGTATACAATGTTAAATAAAGTGAGAAGATCAATCGATTGAGACGTCTAGGATATGTGTGACGCATGCCGACCTAGTCCCATCCTTAACTAATATTAGCTTACATAGAATTAGACTGTAATAGAGCTTTGGGTAATAACATGAGAATATCGCGTTGTATCATGAGGTCTTCGGAAGTTGGTTTGAGCCAGCTACGTTGGAGGATGTTGGTTGCCTGGTTGTAGTCCTTGGGATTCTAAGAACTAATAGCTTGAGACTGCTGGTATTATGGCTCGAAATCATTTTCAGTGACGCGGTTATGTTTTTTTTTTTCAATCTCCCAGATCCAGTGAGTCTTCACGTTTTCCCATGTTACTATTCTTTAACCCGTCCATTTCTGCTCAGTGAACTTTTGAGTTTCTCATTTCTCTACCTTTGTGTGCTCTATGGACTTTGGCAGTTTGAGCTATTGTACTTCTGTGTATAGTTCTATGTTGAAACTCGGTCAGTTTTAAAACCTTCAAGACCACATGGGTAATTGCATTAAGCAAAATATTACTCAATAGGAAAGTACATATAAACAGAAAGCCTCTATTTCACTGTATCCTTTACTACCGCCTCATACTTATCATTTCGTTATTCTATGAAGAAACTCATTCGTTCCACTAACCTTATTGTACTTGCAACTTGTCTGATCCACTTGCGATTAAGTGTTGCTTATTAAATAGCTTAAATCAAATTTCACGCGTCATGCATTCAAATAATAATATTTAATTCGTGTTTTTTCGATACTGACTGATCTTAGTTATTGTTATTTTTAGAAAGGTCATAATTCCGTGTATATAATTTCTTTTTATTATGGTTATTTGTGATGTACTAGCATTAAAAAAGGGCAGTATTCTTTGAATCACAGAAATATAGAAGTACAAAACTCACGAATCAATTATCGACGAAAAAATATAATTTGTATTGTCTGATGAAATGAATTATTTTTGCACTGACTTGAATAGTGATCTTTCGTGACATCCGTTACCAAAGCTATGCTTTAGAATTTTTAATATTAGCTAGGGGTTCTGCTGTTT